GGCCGCCATCTTGGCTGACAATTAATTTGCATAAGGATACGCTGATTAGCCAATGGGAAGGGTAGCGGTCGTACGCTAATTACCATGTTTCTCTTTTATTAGTGTAGATATTTAAATGCCATTTAACAAAGAAAAACCAACCAAAAAAATGAGTTCGTGTGTCACCTCTGACACGCATGTCATAGGTTCGCCATCACTGGGCTAGGTCAAGGGACCCCACTGGTGCACAATCGGGGCTGAGGAGGAATGCAGGAGTTTGGCCAGCCAGGCAGGGATCGAGGGAGGGCTCCAGGGCTTGTCCGGCCCTTCTTACTCAGTCCCAATTGGCCGGACCCCAGCAGCAAGCTAACCTACCCGTTGGAGCATCTGCCCCCTGGTGGTCATGCACCTCATAGCGACTGGTTGACCAGTTGACTATCTGCACCCTGGTGGTCAGTGCACGTCATAGCGACTGGTGAATCAGTTGACTGTCTGCCCCTTGGTGGTCAGTGCACGTCATAGTGGTTGAGTGGCCTTAGCATAGCATTAGCATATTACCCTTCGATTGGTTGAATGGCCCACCGGAAGACTGGACACTTAGCATATTAGGCTTTTATTATACGGGATGATTTCTTGAGTGGAAAATAATGAAGTTACGTTTGAGCTGTTTTATTGGAAATTGCACAAAACCTTGATCATTTACTCAAAAATACTTGAGAGCTTGCTAGCTTTTCTTAGACTAGATACAGATACAGTAAATATACAGTATGCACTTTGAAGTGTGTTCCTTGTGAACATTTTATGCTATAAACAGTGTCTCTGTCATATGTGTTTTCTTGTGGGGAAAAATTTGCTGATACGTTTTAGATAGAGCACAAGAATGGACATCTTAAGATCCTGCTATATATCATACTACAGGCTGGTGCATGGAGGGGGGGGTCCCCCTCAGCCCGGCCTGCACCCTTTAGCAGTCTGGGAGCCCTTGGAGGATGTCCCACTGATGGACATCCTTAGCGCTGCTGCTTGTGGCTGAGAAGCACTCCCCCTATGGGAGCGCAGTGACCACCAGGGGGAAGCTCCTGCATTGAGCATCTGCCTCCTTATGGTCAGTGCACGTCATAGCGATTGGTTGTTCCACTGTTCGGGTGATTTGCATATTATGCTTTTATTATATAGGACTAGAGGCCCAATGCACGAAATTCGTGAAAGAGTAGGGCTTCCTTCCCCTGGCTGCCGTCATCGGCTTCCCTCTGACACCTGAGACCCAGGCTTCCCTCCGGCTGCTGGCAGGCACCCGAGACCCGGGCTTCCCTCACAGCCCTAGCTTTGTCCTGAAGGACGTCCGGTCTAATTAGCAAATTATGCTTTTATTATTATAGGAGATTACAAAGGATTCTTACAGTGGAGTCTTAAAACCACCTGAACTTGACAATTCTTAAGTATGTGGACCTTTTTTATGAGGGGAGAGTTTAGTGTCTTAATAGTAAATCCTTTAAGCATTCACCAGCCTTCCAAAAGAAAAAGCACTATGTGTTTAATAACTTATTTTCTTTAAGGCCTCATCTCTTATTTATAATAATGATACATTCGTTTCATTCTTCACTGGATTGATGTGGGTTTCAAATCTGGTATTAATGTAAATTAAACACTATAAAAGGGAAAGTTGTATAGAAATAAAAATCTTTATTATAGTCAAATATTCTTTTTTGTTCCTCATAGTGATCCCAACTGGTGGAAAGGTGAAACCCATCAAGGCATGGGGTTATTTCCCTCTAATTTTGTAACTGCAGATCTCACTGCTGAACCAGAAATGAGTAAGTATTTTCCAGTCTGCCAGTGGATGATAATCATTAATCCTCTTAATGAAGGCTGAGTAAATTCAACTTTTTGGAGCAGGTACTTTCAAATGGTAGTGTTTTCAAGGTGTTTATTAAAAATGCAGCTGCCTGGTCAGTAGGTTATTTACCATCATCTAAGAATTGCAGTCATTTGCCTACCAAGATTATCTTTAGAGAGAGTATGGATTTTTTCTTTAAAAAATATCTATATCTACCTATACCTATAAATACATATATATGTATGTATGTATGTGTGTGTATATATATACATGTATATTCACACTCATATATGTGTATATGTGCTAGTGTAAAAATGCATACTAAAAAGTGTTGATGGAATTTATGCATTATGTATTTTCATTATCATCAGTTGATAAAAGTGTGACAAATGCAGTGCAACCTCATAAACAATTCTTCCTTTTCAAAGGTTGAGACCATTTCTCTAGTGTTCTAACCTCAAATTTGGAAGCTGTGGCCTCTAAGCAACAGTAATGGCTTTTCTAAACCTTCTTGTTAGATATTCAGAAGCGGCCATAACTAATCATATAAGTAGTTTTTTTTTTGTTTTATTGCCAAATCTTTGCTGACTAGGAGAAATAAACTAAAAAGTGGGGCCAAAGAGGTAGTGATATTATAGGCATAATAGTTGCAGGAAATGTAACTGGTGGTAGCCTATCAAAATGTTGATAGACAGTTGACTATATTTTTTCATAATACTGCACTTTATGAATCTTCATAATGAGGAGTTTGAGTCACCAAGATTAAATCATAACCTCCCTTTGTTTAAGGAAACAGTAATATGTTCTAGTCTAGAAAGATTTCTATTAGTGATTGACATTTTTAGAATTTAAAAATATTTTTGCATGTAAGTTGTAAGCCACAGTTATCTGGCAGAATATCTCATCTCAGCTCACCTGTCTATATAACAGCTAGAAGGAATTAACGTTATAAACTGCAAGATGCTTAGCTTTTTTGTAGTTTACAAGAATTCTAAGAATGGATCTTTGTCTTAGTCATCTTTTTATTTTCAGTAGCACCAAGTACTAAATCCAGAATACAGACTAGACATATATAAATATTAATGCAATAAATAATACATAAGTGTATATATAGAGATATACTTTTCTTTAGAAACATAAGTACACTTACGTTTTCAAGAGAAGGCTTTCACAACAAACCAGACATTATGAATCTTGAGAAGATAATGCCCTCTCATAGTTATGCCAGGTTGTTCTTTTGTCATTTTTATAAACAAATTCCTGATACCTATTTCTTTAATTGAATTCTTTTTTTTATTAGAACTAAAAAAAAAACAACGTGTTGTAGAACCTTGTTTGAATGGGAGTGCATACTGCGCTCACTTTTAACCTCGGCCGAAGGTGGTGTTTTTTTTTGTTTGTTATTGGGAGTTTGGGTTGTCCTGAATCAATTGTTGGAATGGGTAGAATAGTCTCGAACTTCTGTTCACAGTGAGATCCAAGAGCTCATGTAGATCATATAGCCATCTCATTTTTTTTCCCATTATATAGCCTTGCACTTTAAAATTAGTATTCCAACTCATATGTTTTAGTCTGGACCACCTAAAAGAGAAACAGGAGCAGCAGAACTTACGTAATGTAGTCCTCGAGTTTGGAAAATGAGTGCTAGTGTGATCCTCATAGCCTCATTCTTTATGAGGAAGCAGAAACCCACTTAATGTGTCAAATAGAAATACCTGGCCGCCTTAGCTTGTTAGATATTGGTAGACACAGTTAGATATTGTGAAAGCACTTTTTACATATATAAACATTTTATATGTATATTCACAAACATACTATACTACACAATACACATGTGTACATAGTAATAGTATTGGTTCCTATGAGAAAAAGCACTGTAAATTTGTGCACGGTCAGCTGACAGGATATGAAGTCTACCATGTGTCCCTTACGGATAGCAGATAATACAGTGCTCTCCCAGTTTTCTACTTGTTAATAGCTCAAGATGTAAAAAGCAAGATATATATAGCATATGTCTCCTTTTCCTCCATGGGAAATGAAGGAAATCAGCTGAAACTGTGTGTGTGTGTAGAATTTTGCTTCATGGTGACTTGAATGGGATGAATTAAACTATTTCCATTTTCTATGGAATCACATAACACAGAATACTAAGTGATGTGACTTCTTATTCTCAGAGTAAAATCATAGGCCAGATTCCAGTTGTGTGGGCTGGTAGAACCAGATAGATTGGCATTTAAATCCAGGCTTTGCCATTTATTAACTTTCACCTATGCAAGAATTTATAATCTTTCTAAGCCCTTGTTAACCTTATTTGTGAAATGGGCCTATCTCATAGGATTGTATTGTAGATTCTTTGGAGGAAATGTAATATGTATTCCATTAAGCACATTTAATAATTTAGTAGATATTTCCCTTACTTAATTCTACCTTTTACCCACCTCCCTTTCCTCTTGATTCTTAATATTTTTTATGAATAATGATTGACCACGTGGATACAAGGATGGAAAATTCAGAGAGGAAATTAATTTTTTTTCTTTTTATTAAGTTCAGAGAGGAAAGAAGAAGGAGAGAGAGATAGAAACACCAATGATGAGAGAGAACCATTGATTGGCTGCCTCCTGCATGCTCCCACTGGGAATCGAGCCGCAATCCAGGCCAGTGCCCTGACCAGGAATCTTGAACCATAACCTCCTGATTCATTATGTCGATGCTCAACCACTGTGCCATGTCAACTGGGTAGAAATTCATTTCTTTTAAGCTGTATGTGCCTTGATATTCTTTTGGAGAAGGTTAATTGCTATGTTAATCATATCTTTATATGTACTAGTTAATGTTATATTGATTAGATTTTTAAAGTTTTCTTTATTGAGCAAGAGAAATATGTGTTTCTGGCCAATGGTTTGTGGATCCCTTAATAATCATTTTTTAATGCAAAGAACAATGTAACTAAAATGTATAGGCTGATGTAGTGGCAGATCCCTGCCAAAGCTATTTGTAAAATTTCCATTGGCTTGGATGTCCTTCTCTTAGTCAAAAGTCTGAGTGGCATGCTGGAGAACATATAGCTAACTTTCCAATTCATTGCATTGAAATAGCATGGTCTATCAAATGAGATTTTTCTAAATTTCAGAGTTCATTCATGCCATTGTAAAATTTTGCTCTTTTTCACCAATTTACTAAACTCATGTATAGTAGGTGATTAATCTTTGTTTCAGAAATACACCTCTTATTTTTAGTAATGTGTCTTTTATGGAAAATGTAAAATCTTTAGAGGAGAAAATTAAGAAATCTTGACATGAAGTAATGTTTAGTCATTATTGCCTAAATCTGCAACCTGATTATTCTTTAAATTGAGTCAGTTTAAGGAAATATTTAAAAAATTCAAATTCTCTCTTGTAACTTAAAGTGTTCTCAAATAGAATTTTAAATGTATTCTAAGGTAAATATTGCATGTTTTACAGTAAAAACGGAGAAGAAGACGGTACAATTTAGTGATGATGTTCAGGTAGAAACAATAGAGCCAGAGCCAGAGGAACAAGCCTTTATTGATGAAGTAAGTGATTTCCATATACCTCATTATTTTAAACTAGAGGCCTGGTGCACAAAAATTCGTGCACTGGGGCGGGGTCCCTCAGCCCGGCCTGTGCCCTCTCGCAGTCTGGTACCCCTCAGGGGATGACCACCTGCTGGCTTAGGCCCGCTCCCCAAGGGATTGGGCCTAAGCTGGCAGTCAGACATACCTCTGGCAGCCCGGCAGCCATCAGGGGATGTCCACTTACCAGCGGGAAGCAGGCCTAAGCTGCAGTTGGACATCCTTAGCGCTGCTGAGCAGGTGGGAAGCTTGGCTTCCTCCATCGCCCGGGCAACCAAGCCTCCTGCTTGCTCCAGCTCCATGGCTGCCGGCTGCCATCTTAGTTGGGTTAATCTGCATATAGTTGCTCTGATTGGCTGGTGGGTGTGGCTTAGGGCATAGCAAAGGTATGGTCAATTAGCATCTTTGTCTTTTATTAGTGTAGATTTCTGCTTAATGTTTTACAGAATGGATATATAATGATTTTTTAATTCTGTTTTTGGACAGTGAGTTTGTTTTTAGTTTTTTCCTGGTGTTTTTTTTTTGCTATTACGAACACTATTATGAGATTTTAAAAATATATTTCAAATAATGTGTAATTGTTTTATTTTAAAATGTTTGTACCTAATGCTCTGGAAATTATATTCTTGGTAACATTTTAAACTTATGATGAAAAATGAGAAGTTATCTTTAAAATATGTGAAGGGATTAGTAAGTTTTTAGCCTTCTTTTAGGGGAGCCAGAGCAGAAAGTTTGAAGAGTGTTCTTTTACAGAAATAGATTGTAGAAGACTGTTAGGAGCCAAGGAATCCAACTGGATTAGGGAAAATTAATTAGCTGATTGCATTACATAAGAAATTCGTGTAGAGTCAGTGAGGGATCTCTCTTAGAAACCTTATTTCTCTGATAGTAGGTAATTTCAGATAGAGTATAGTATTCTGTAAACACAACAAAAATTATCCAGGTATTAGTGGCTCTCACTCTTACCAACTATAACCACCTCCCTCCACCCTTCCCCCCCCCCCTTTTTTTTTTTTTTTGCTGTAGGAAAACTTTACTGACATGTGCCTTCTTTTTTGGACTGCTTGAAATGAACGTTGAATCTTTTACAATGAAAAATAGTACCCATTTCAAAACATGAAATTCTTTTGCCTTCAGAAGTTTCTTATATGCTGTGTCACTTTTACTCTCTAGTAATTAATCCATCTCTCAAACTGTTCTTCTATATATAATGCAGAGTTTTTGTTTAAATAACTGCTATGCTTTGAATTGGTCGTCTTTACATTATTTACCTAATGTACATAGGTTTAATAGTATAACCCTGTAAAAACCATGCATGGGGAAAAGCTTGTAATTATTATAGTAGTATTCATTGGTATGCTATGTAAAATTTATATTTTGTTTTTTAAAAACCTACATATAAATACATATGTAGTTATATAATGTATAGAGGTACTAATGTAAAGATGGTTTCATTAGTCCCACTGGTGATTAAAACAAAAGATTCTAAAATATGTGTAAGTCACTGCCTTGAGAAGCCTTCCAGCCTTTCCCACGTAGAAGAATAGAGAGACCACAAACTGAAACATTGGTAGCAAGAAAATGTAGACTAAGTCTTTATGGCCCTACTTAGAAAGAGAACAGCTGTAATATAGCTGAGCTATGCCTTTCTAAAGCAGCTGTTGTATTCACCCTGGGGGAGAAGTAATAACTGAGTTGTTAGTCATAAGTAATGCCATCGTGAGAGAGAGGTTACACCTGTCAGCATGTCAAGGCTAGGCTGCTTCAAAACAGAGTGAAATTCACTACCATGAAATTAGATTGAAGAGCTCACATATTGTAAGTTTAAATGTGGCTCTATTCTCTTTAAGAGAATCATTGAGGACTAAAAAATAAGTAGGTAGAGCTTTCCAGGCTCTGACTTCACATGGTACTTAAAGAGAGTACACAGATATTAACCACATAAAAACAAAATTGGAGTCTACATATCTGAATTACAAAAGTTCTCTATCCATTACCTAATTAACAAAGTGCAAACATATTGTTTCGTAATGACTAGTTGCTTTTTATATTAACTATTTAATTCCTGTAGGACAAAATGGACCAATTGCTACAGATGTTGCAAAGTACAGATCCCAGTGATGATCAGCCAGATCTTCCGGAGTTACTTCATCTTGAAGGTAAACCTTGTTTTTCATTTATCTTCCAAATAAAGGATAATTAGAGGTTATATCTACTGTTCTGTTACAGAATGGTTCATATTTAAATAAAATTGAGAATTATACAAAACATGTTCATATTCTTCACTCTTCTGTGACCCAGTCTCACGTTTATATGCTATTTAAAACTTTGATAGAATTCACATTCTTTTTAAAATATATATATTTTTGTTGATTTTTTACATAAAGGAAGGGAGAGGGATAGAGAGCCAGAAACATCGATGAGAGAGAAACATCGATCAGCTGCCTCCTGCACACCCCCCACTGGGGATGTGCCCGCAACCAAGGCACATGCCCTTGACCAGAATCGAACCTGGGACCCTTGAGTCTGCAGGCTGAAGCTCCATCCACTGAGCCAAACCGGTCAGGGCAGAATTCACATTCTTACACATTTCTATAGAAATTAAATATTTTATTTAAAATACTCAAATATTTTATTCAACATTTTAGAATGTTGTAAAATAAATATTGGTATTTTAATATTTTTGAGATCAAGAAAATAAATCTTGGGATCTCTTTATTAATATCATTTTTATTACTCCAAATTACATCTTGTATTTCTTATATGAATATTCATCAGAGATTTGCTTTCTTTTGTTGTGTTTTCTTATATTTCTTCAAATCTTCTCACCTTAGCAATGTGTCACCAGATGGGACCTCTTATTGATGAAAAGCTGGAAGATATTGATAGGTAAAAGAGCATGTGCCCTCTAGATTGTGTACCTTCTTCCCTGATGTTCTCTGTAAACTACCTACTGGGATAGAGCTGCCATTATAATTTATTTTATTACTAGTTTTGTTTATTTATTTCTGTCGTGTTATATTTTATATTTTAATTTTTCTATCTTATTTCATTTGAATTTTTCATTTGTATCTTTTAATATTTTCTATTTTTATATGCCAAAGGAACCAGTCCCCATTTACTTGTTTTCTACTAAATGTGGGAATTTGAATTAGACCCAACTCTCCTCTTTTTTTATTTTTGTTTAAGGTGAGGATTTATTTGACCTTCACTATATTAGTCTTTTTTAAAAAATAAGGGTAAACTATTAAAATCATGAGTGACATTACCAGAGCCCAAATGACCCATCTATTATAATCTCGAGAAACCTAGATATTTCAAAGTAAAGTCAACTACAATAAGCTCTCCCAGCACAGTACCTAAATCTGAGTTTTGATTGCCTTGGAGCTAAAATACAGGATATTTTCTGTCACAAGGTAAATTTTTAATAATGTCTATATCACTTTCTGCTATTTTGATATGCCTTATTATTTAGAACATTGTACTATTTAAATAGCAATTATGTTTCAAATTATTGTATAATATTTCAGAAAACATTCAGAACTCTCAGAACTTAATGTTAAAGTGATGGAGGCACTTTCATTGTATACCAAGTTAATGAATGAAGATCCAATGTATTCCATGTATGCAAAATTACAGAATCAGCAGTATTATATGCAGTCATCTGGTGTTTCTGCCTCTCAGGTAAGCTTTTAAAAACTCAAGTATATCATTTTAAATTCTCAAATATTTGAGAGTATTTGGAATAGCTGTGTTTTTATAAAATTTGAAACTTTCTAAAAGTAATGTAAAATAAATTTTAAAAGAAATTTTTACTTGACAAATATAGTGTATACTATACCATTATACCAGTGGTTTATTTTAAATATATTTTTATTGATTTCAGAGAGTGGAAGGGAGAAGGGGAGAGAGATAGAAATATCAATGATGATATTTCTCTTGCATGCCCCACATCGGAGATTGAGCCTGCAACCTGGGCATGTGCTCTGACCAGGAAATCAAACTGTGACTTACTGGTTCATAGGTTGATGCTCAGCCACTAAGCCATGCCAGCTATGCCCAATAGTTCTTTTTAAAAAAATTATTTTTCTGTAGGAATATCCATCAGAATCACCCATCAAACTTTTTGAAAAAGTACAGATGCTTTGATTCTATCCAGACTTGTTGAAGCAGAATCTTCAGGAGGGAGGTCCAAATGTGTGCATATTTTTAAAGCTTTATATGTAATTATCTGGTTAAGAACTGCAGTTTTTTTGTCTCAGTAAAATTTCTAATTATTACTAAATTCTTCTGAATATGTACAGTGTTCAGTTTTATAGTGAGCTGCTTTAATCTGTATCTCACTCCCTTCCTTTACATAACACGTAATGCAATACAGAGCCCTTTCCCTCTTTTTCTTTTTTGGTAATCTTCACCCAAGGATATTTTCCCCATGATTTTTAGAGAGAATATAAAGGAGAGGGGGGAGATAGAGAGAAATATCGATGTCAGAGAGACACATCAATTGGTTGCTTCCTGCTTGTGCCCTGACCAGGGCTGGGGATCGAACCTGCAACCCAGGTAACATGCCCTTAACTGGGAATTGAACCCATGACCCTTTGGTGCACAGGCCGATGCTTTATCCACGAGCAATACAGGCCAGGGCCCTTTCCCTCTTTTTACCTCAAATAACTATTTGAAGAGTTCTTTTTCCACAAACTCAGTAAGTTCAGGGTATAGGGAATAATTCTCCAGGCACTTCATTTTATCCATGTAGAGTGGTATAAACATTATATAGATTAATTTTTGTTTTTAGAATAGTCAATTTTCTCTTAAATGAGGGGACACAACCCTGGAGATGTGCAGCCATGCCTGAGTAACATGTGGCTAGATGATTCCTACTCACAGGTGTTGATATCAATTTGAGCCAAAGAAACCCCCCAAAAACCTTTCACGTTCAGTTTGAAAAGTACAAAAAAATGCACTCATGAGGACCAGAATAGCTGTGTTTACAATGAAGACCTTTGGATTCTGATGCATGGGAAGTGTGTTAGGACTTAAGAGAAGTGCTGAGATGATTGAGCCTTGTCTCCTGATGGTTGTGTTACTATCTTTACAACTGGTAAAAAAGCCTTACTACATAGATAGTGGCATTCTGTTATCAAACTTATGAAATGGAAGGATTTAAAGAATACTACAGAAAACTAGAATATTATGTATTTTAAGACTTTTGGAATTTAAGGCTTCAATCTCTTTCGATTCAGACAAGTATAGTTTTTGGATGCAAAAACTATAGTAGGCAAACAATGGCCCAAGGGCCAAATCCAGCCTCCCATCTGTTTAAATAAGCTTTTATTGAAACGCAGCCATTCTCTTTTGTTTATTAATTGTTTCTGGCTACTTTCTATATGGGTCAAATTCAGTAGTTGTGACAGAAACCATATGGCCTACAAAGCCTAAAATATTTACTATCAGAACTTTTACAAAAATGTTTGCTGACTAACCCTACTTTAGAAAGTTAGTTTGTTCTGTGTTCAGTAAACTGTAATTTAAAACATATAAATTGTATCTATAAGCAGATGCAGTCTATTGATACAGTCAATTCAAAGACACTTCTTAGACATCCTTTGGAAATCCTTTTAGGGAAGAACTTAAAATATCAACATGGAAAAAGAGACTATATTAGTATAAAGTTTCAAGTTAAGTTCCTTTACTACTTTTGGATAGAGGTAAACATGAGTTTAGCCAATGTTTACCTAAGAATTAAAATAATCAGAAGCCAACTTCACTGAAAAATATTTTTTAAATGCCTGTTAACTGAAGTAACTATGAAAAAAGATTTCAGGGATATAATTGTTCTTTTTATTAACTGAATGTCTTTACAAAAGGTTTGGCATGCTTACTAAAATCTTAGAAAATCTAATATGTTATCATGAACTGTTCTAGGTATATCCAGGGCCTCAAAGTGGTACTTACCTGCTTGCAGGGAATGCCCAGATGAGCCATCTCCAGAGCTATAGTCTTCCTCCAGAGCAATTGTCTTCCCTCAGCCAAGGAGCAGTTCAACCCTCTGCAAACCCTGCCCTTCCTGCTCAGCAGACTCAGGCTTCTTACCCTAGGTAATTTGATTATTGACTGTTACTTGGAGTTAATGCTATTAAAATTCTTTCTTTGTAATATCTTTAAAATTTTTTTAAAAATTTTAGAGGAGAAAAGAGAGAGAGAGATGAGAGGTGAGAGAGAGAGATCGATCTATTGCCTTCCATAAGTACCAGAGAGAGAAAGGTGAGAGAGAAACATCGATCTGTTGCCTCCAGTAAGTACCCGAACCGTGGATTAAACCCAAAACCTGGGTATGTGCCATGACCAGGAATCAAACCTTTCAGGTTTGAGCCACACTGGTCAGGGCAAAATTCTTAAGTGCCCGTGATCATCTGTAACCAGAACTGGGTAAGAAACTCCAGAAAAGATGCCATCACTGATACCAGATGGTTACCTCTGTTTGTGGTGTTAAGTGAGTTCTACAGGAACCCCTGCAGTATTGCAGCAATAGCCAGGAAGCCAGTTCTCCCTCTTACTGCCTCACTGAACTGCTGTATTCTGATTCTAACTTTGTCATAATTTGTTTTTATTTGAGTCCGTGGTGGTATTTGCTAAGGATTTTAATGAAACTTAGATTTGATAACTATATATTGTTTTTCACAAATTTCATAAAAATCTAAATATTTTTATCATTATTGTTTCAGAATTTATGTCAGAAAGACACATATTTCCTTCTTTTTGACCTGTGTTGGAATTGAGTGTATACCACAGCAAGATATATCATTTGAAAAGAGATGGGTTTTTTGCCCCTGTGGTCCATGGAGCAAATATCTGAATATAAAATGATTTGCTCATTGTTTTGGCCATTTACTTATAATATCCTCTATCACACAGTTAAGTGATTATATATTATGTAATTTATAATTACATAAATGTCTTTTTCTGCTTCTGTGTGAATCTAAGCTGAAGTCTTTCCCTCAAAACAAATAAAAGGTAGACTTTAGAGTTCATCAATTTGTAATTCTAGAAGTCATGTTATTCTGACTCACATTAGAAGTATCTTGGTGGCACAGGTGCAATTTCTAGAAAACTTTTCTTCAATATTGGGGTTGCCCATGAATGCTCCTATACTGTCCTTACTGTTGTATTACTCATCCTCAAAAGAGTCACACTCTAGGGATGCTTAGGGATTCACAAGCATTATTTGCTGGTCACCTCTAGTAATCTCGGAGTGAGGAAGCTATTAGAGCATCAAAAAACAGGATACTCTCTACTGAAAGTAGCTCAGAAAAAAAATGTTAGGTATAACTCTTTCTGCCCCAGGACTTTTTTTTTTAAGCTGAAATTTGATGAAACGAATACACTTACATGGAAAAGAAGCAAACAGGTAGGGAGCAGCTATTGTTAGCATACTGTCTTAAAAACCAGATACAAAGTGAGTAGAGGTAGGTATTGTTGAGAAATCAGCCAGTGTGCATGAGTTATGTACGAATCTCTTAGGTATTTTAGTGTCATCCAGAAATGCTGCCTCTTTCCCAGCTGGTCCTCTGTTACTGTGTCGCATGCTGCTGTAGCTGCCTTGTTCCTTGTTCCTTGAGACCCATTCTTAGTTCAGGGCCTTGAGAAATTTCCTTGTAAATGATAGCTGTAACACCTTGTTGCTGTTTTCTGGGCATTGTTCTGTCTGCTTCCATAGCTTGGATGTGAAATATCTGATGCGGGGCATGCACTGTAGTCCAGGGTCTAACTCTACTGATCCTGTGTGGCTATTAACGTCACCTCTCAAGAAACACATGTGCACTTCAGCAGGTGCTTTTTCCTTGTCATCTTTAGCCCTCTTTGTCTGGCTAATTCCTATTTATCAGTTCCTAGCTTTCTCTTTACTAGAACACCTTCCCGCACTCCAAACACTGTTCCTGCTCTCTTGTTCTCACAGGACCCCAGCCTACTGTGTACTCTCTTGTAATCACCTTTAGACTAGTCTGTATCCCCACTAAGCTATCATATCTTGAGAGGTGGCATCAAGTTTCTTTAACCTTTATATCTATTGTATAACAGAGTTTTATACTTGATAAGAACTCAGTAAATACTTGATAAATAAATGTTTAAGATAGGAATTTGAAGTGCTGTGTTGGGCCAGTGAGATATATTTTTAAATTATTTACAGAGGCTTCACAAAGGCTTTGAGGCAGTTTTTAAAAACATATAAATGTATAACATAATATATAAGAACAGGGTGGGGCAAAAATAGATTTACAATTGTGAGTATACAAAATACAGATTTTATTCTTATATTATTATTTATTAATTATTGTATTATTTTCCATACCAACAGCTATATTTGACTCAGGCTTTCTAATTGCAGATCCAGGTCATTGAGGAATTTTTTCCCCATTTTGGTGGGCAGTTTTTTTTTTTTTTAGTGGCCCTAGTTCATATCTAGGAGGCAATTTCTTATTCTTTTACATATAATTTTGGTTCTAGGGTTCTTACTTTTCCAGACTATGTAATAACCTTAGTATGATCTTACTGATAATTAGGGAAGGTAGAATGGATGCAGTTTCCTAAACTCACCTAGAATGGTGATGATGGTAGTACTCAGGTGACCAAAGCTATGTACTTACTTGTCTATTATTTCAGACTACTCTGTTAAAAAGGTGTTTATTGAACAGTTAGTCTGTGCCAGACACTATGCTAGACACTTGACATACAAGTGTGTGTTTCTTCCTCTCCCCACAGACACAACTGACATAAAACATTATGAAAATTTAAGATGTACAACTTGTTGATTTGATACATTTCTATATTGTAAAATGATTATCACCATAGCATTAGCTGACACTTTCATCCTGTCATGTAGTTACTATTTCTTTTTTTCTTTTTTTTTGTGGTGAGAACATTTAAGGTTTATTCTGAGCAACATTCAAGTATATGATAATAGTATTATTAGGGAAAATCACTATGCTGTACATTAGATTCCTAAACTTTTTCATCTTATAAATGGAAGTTTGTACCCTTTGTCTAGTATCTCCCCATTTTCCCCACTCTCTAACCAACATTCTACTATTTGTCTTTTTTAGATTCCACATGTGAGGTTATATAGTATTTCTTTCTCTATTTTACTTAGCATAATGCCCTCAAGTCTCATCCAAGTTGTACAAATGGCAGAATTTTCTTTTTCCTTGTGGCTGAATAATATTCCAGAGAGGGGGAGAGAGAGAGAGAGAGAGAGAGAGAGAAGAGAGAAAACACGTACACTTACACTGCATCTTCTTTACTCATTCATCTGTTGATGGATGCTCAGGTTGTTTCCATATTTTGGCTGTTTTGAGTAATGTTGCAGTGAACATGGGGGTGCAGATTTCCTAAAGATCCTGATTTCAGTTCTTAAGGGAGTGAGGGGGGAGAGAGAGAGAGAGAGAGAGAGAGAGAGAGAGAGAGAAGAGAGAAAACACGTACACTTACACTGCATCTTCTTTACTCATTCATCTGTTGGTGGATGCTCAGGTTGTTTCCATATTTTGGCTGTTTTGAGTAATGTTGCAGTGAACATGGGGGTACAGATTTCCTAAAGATCCTGATTTCAGTTCTTTGGGATATATACTCATAAATGGGACTGCTGAGTCATATGGTACTTTCATTTTTTAAAAATATGTTTTTATTGATTTTAGAGAGATAGAAACATTGATAAGAGAGAAACATGGTTCGGCTGCCTCCTGCAACGCCCCCTACTGGGGATGAAGCCTGCAACACCCCAGGCATGTACCCTGACCAGGAATCAAACTGGTGACCTCTTCTTTCAAGGGTTGATGCTCAATCATTGAGCCACACAGGCTGGGCTAATTTTTAAATTTTTGAGGAACCTCCATACTGTTTTCCAAGTGGCTGCACCAATTTACATTTCCACCAGTACTGCATAAGGCAGTGATGGTGAACCTTTTGAGCTTGGCATGTCAGCATTTTGAAAAACCCTAACTTAACTCTGGTGCCGTGTCACATATAGAAATTTTTTGATATTTGCAACCATAGTAAAACAAGGACTTATATTTTTGATATTTATTATATATATTTAAATGCCATTTATCAAAGAAAAAATCAACCAAAAAAATGAGTTCGCGTGTCACCTCTGACACGCGTGTCATAGGTTCGTCATCACTGGCATAAGGGTTCCCTTTCTCTATATCCTTGCCAACACTTGTTATCTTTTGTCTTTGATGATAGCCATTCTAACAGGTGTGAGGTAATATCTCATTTTGGTTTTGATTTACATTTCCCTGATGATTAGTGATATTGAGCACATTTTCTTTTCTTTTTTTAATTTAAATTCTTTATTGTTTAAATTATTACGTGAGTCTCCTTTTTCCACCATTGACCTCTCCCCAGCCACCTCCACCCCCCAGTACTCCTCCTCCTCCCCTGCCTTCCCTCATAGGTTGGACAGTCTGTTCGATGCTTCTGTGTCTCTGGTTCTATTTTTGTTCATCAGTTTATGTTGTTCATTATATTCCACAAATGAGTGAGATCATGTGATACTTATCCCCCTGTGACTGGCTTATTTCGTTGAGCACCTTTTCTTGTACCTATTGGCCTTTTGTGTGTCTTTGGAAAACTATTCATTTCCTCTGCCTATTTTTTATCTAGTAGTTAGTTTCTTTACTATTGAGTTGTATGAGTTCTTTATATATTTTTGGTATTAACCCCTCATTAGATATATGACTTACAGATATTTTCTTTTATTCATTGGTTGTGTTTTAATATATTGTTGATTGTTTCTTTTGCTGTTCAAAAACTTTTTAGTTTGATGTAATCCCAGTTGTTGACTTTTGCTTTCATTTCCTGTGCCTTTGCTGTCATAGCCAGGAAAATTGCTGCTGAGACGATTGTCAAGGAGCCTTTTCCCTATGTTTTCGGGTAGGGATTTTATGGTTTCCAGTCTTAAATTAAGGTCTTTAATCCACTTCAAGTTCTTCTTTTTGTGAGTGGTGTAAGACAGGCCTTCAATTTCATTCTTCTGCATGTGGTTATCTAGTTCTTCCAGCGCCACTTGTGGAAGAGACTATTCATTCTCTACTGAGTATTCCTGGCTCCCTGGTCATATTAGTTGACCACTGACTTAGAGTTTCTTAGCCTCTGTGTACTTACTGGTTAGTAGAGGCAACCATACAAAGAAATTGCAATGAAAATATAAATTACAAATAAAGGTACATGCAGGGTGCTTTAGGAACTTCAAGATCCAGGGAAGGTTTCAAAGAGCATATTCTCAAGTTATGTTATTCTTAGCGTGGAGGAAAAAGTAAGAAAGTTTTTCAATCATGAGCAAATATATAGCAGCATGAAATGGCGTGGTACTATGGAATGGGGTGTTGTGAAAATACGTATTACCAAAGGATTAAAGTCTATGGTGGAAGATGTGAGAGATGTACTTGCAGTTATTGTCAAAGATAATGACTGGTCCTAGATATCATGTTAAGGAGCTTGGGTCTTGGAAAAGCCTCCAAGGGGATTTAAATGGCAATAAGATTGGTGAATTCATAGTTGCTGCGTTAGCAGCTGGGAGACTTTGTATATTAGACAAGAAATCATGAGTTCTAACTGCAAGACATAATGATAGAGATGAAAAAAGAGTAATTTAGGAGATTAGCAAATGATTGCATGTAGATGACAAGCTGGGGCGATAGTGCAGAGCAGATATAAGGGAGAGTAGTGGTGAATTGCTGGGTTTTGCCCTTGGGCAACTGGGTGAATGGTGGGACTGTAAGTTGAGATAAGGAATATAGTACAAAGCGTGAATAATTTCAGTAATGGCGAACATTTATTGGGATGTCCCATGTTATTAGATGGGAAAACTGAGTATGGAGGGAGGACTAAGGTTCCACTTCGCGAAGATACAAAATCAGGCATTTTGGCTCCAGAGCTTAGCACTTTGTCACAACATTATATTGTAGCTGTATTGTGGTCCTTATTGATGTAAATAAGAACATAAAATCTGACTTCTTGTAATACTTTTTATCTCACAAAGTAACACATATAGAATGATATTGAGTGATGCCTTTCAGCATTACAGTAAAACCTCGATATAATGGACTAATACAGGCGAGGGGGTGTCCATTAGAGCCCAAGTCCATTATATAATGAAGTAGGTTTTCCAAATGTATATGTAAAAAAATTGGCAAATTAGTTTACCTGTTTTTACTTATGTAGACATGTTTGTGTAATTAAAATTTAATATGTATGAAAAGTTTAATTTCACACAAAAGCTTTCTGTATGTATTACTGTAATTTTAAATTTATACTGAATATATCTAGTAAAAGCTTGCGTTCACCAGTCACCGCGAATAAACAGATGCACATGGCTGGGTCGCGGCTTAGCTCACATCGGAAGTGCTGCAGAAAGTCAGGCCAGGTGACAACAGAACCAGTTACTGTGCAGTGTGATCATGTGCTGATCAGTCCCGAACATGCTTGCCAGCGCTAACTCTTGGATTTAAATATGTAGACTGTAATTATGTAATATTTATTTATGTCGGTGAAATTACTACAGTGTTTCTGAACATAGGACCTGTTAACTAAAATTTGTTAAAAATAACAGTGAATTAACAACATAAAATAAGTTGTTAACTCTAAGTCAGTTGTTAATTTAATTATAAGCAAATCTTGGTTTACAATTTTAAAATTAACAGGGTGTTGATTTTCACATATGACCTACATACAGACTGGAAATTTTGTCCATTAAATCCAAAGTTAATTAAATCGAGATCCTCAAAATTGAGGGTTTATTGTACTTAAGGGGCTACATTAGTGGGAGGAATGTAGCACTAAAAGACTGTCAACTTTAATAACGAATTGTTTAATCTGTGCAGAATGCAAGAGCATTGAGTTTACCAGCAATTGATTTATAAACAATCTAGCAATTGAAGAGTTTAGAAATAGGCAATATTTTGAAAATTGCCCAATTTATAATTTCTTTTTACATTTTTAACAGAAATGTGTGTGTGTGTGTGGGAGGGGGAATCTCAATGTTAAAGCTGTTAGTATTTCTCTTTATATAGCTATGCTAGTGTCCTATATATGGGAAAAACTCAAATATCAGACTGGAAATGGGAAGAGAGAAAGCAGAGACAGTGAATAAAGACAGCCCTGAAGGAATGTTTTTGGTGGAATGAGAGCAGTGCCCAAGTGGAGGGCACCTTGCAAGGGAGCACTGACAGCCGATGAGTTTTAGCAGGAGAGAGGGCACAGCAGATGAATGGGTGTAGGAACAGATAGCTGATGAATGTGATGGTGGGAGTAGATGGAAGGTCTCTTTTATTTGCTTTTCATTTTCAGGGCAATAAGAGAAGCAAGGTTATGAAGCTTTCATCTTTCCTAGTCCACCTCTTGTCAAGGACTGATGATTTCCATATTTCCAGATCCAGTGGTCACTTCCTTTTTGAAACATTTTCTTCACTTGACTTTGACCATTCTCTCTTAGTTTCTCTTCCAACTTATTGCCTCTCCTCAGTCTTCTTTGCCTAGTGTTTCTCTGTCTTCTTGACTTCTAGAGTAGGACTCAAAATATGGACTGCTTTTTTCTCTGTAGTCATTCCCTAGGGGGTCTTATTCAGGCCCACAACTCTGAACTCCAGGTGTATGATGATGACCCCCAAATATGTATTTCTATTCCTAACTTTTCACTGGTCTCTAGACTTGAGTAGCTGACTATGGAATATCTTCCTAGATATCTCACTTTACATGTCCAAAACGTACTTTGATTCTCCTTCCCCAAATTTATTGTAGTCCTTATCTGCCATCTGTCGTCTTTTTAGTGAATGGCCACTCTACCAGTTACTTCTTCCAGTCATTCAGTTCTAAAACCTCAGGCATTCTTGACCACTCTGCCAATTAGCATTGATGGTAATGCCTTCAAAATCATACCTTTGTTCTTTTCACCAAGTCTATCATGGCACTAGCCACCTGTCAGCTCTTACCTGGACAATTGTAAAAGCCTTCAGTCAGATATCCTTGCATATCCTTGGCCCACAGTGAGTCTGTTAAAACCTAAGTCAAATCACATCATTCTTCTGTCCAGAATCAGTGTCTTTCCATCTCACTCAAATATAATCCAGAATCCTTAGTATGGCCTCCAAGGCACTGTATATCTAAGGCTCCTCTCCCTTTAATTCTGCCACTTTATCATCTTATGCGACTTTCCTCCTTTCTCACTCTGCTTCTGCCAGCATGGCCTCCTTTCTGGTCCTTGAACATGCCTGGCATTTCGTTTTCTCAAAGGATTCTGTGCTTGCCATTCTTTTCGCTTGATCAGCTTATATTCCTATATAATCAGTATGACTCCCTCTCTCACTTCTTTCAGGTCTCTGCTTAAATTTTTCCCTTATCTGAATTGTCTTCCCCTACCACACTGTAAAAGCCAGAATCTCTTCTCTCAGGAACTCTTGGTCCTCCTAATATGCTTTATTTTTCTTCATACCAGTTATTACCACTTGACATATTATAAATTAGTTTATCTTTTTTTCTCCTACTAGAATTAGAATGTAACTTCATGATGGTGGGAATTTTTTTCCCTCCGTTTTTTTTTTTTTTTTACTATATCCCAGTGCCTAAAATAGCACATTTGACACATAATATTTGACACATTACGGGTTTTTAATAAATATTTACTGAATGGGTATTTAATGAATAGCTTCCTGTTTATCTCTAAATGGGTAAGTTAGTCAATATTGATTTGAGTGTTTTTTCCCTTCCACAGCTCAATGGTCAGTTCTGTTCAAGGAAATACATATCCCAGCCAGGCGTCAGTATATAGTCCTCCTCCTGCTGCTGCTACTGCTGATGTCACTATATACCAGAATGCAGGAACTAATATGTCCCATGTGCCAAACTATAGTTTAACATCATCAGCACTGCCTCAACCAGGAGGCAGTCAACAGCCACCTCAGCCACAGCAACCATATTCTCAGAAGGCTCTGCTATAGGATTTGGGATTCCTCTTTGATCTGCTAAATGCCACTGACAATGTTAGAGATTCTTTTGATATCTTAAGGTTTGTTTATCCTCAGCTTATAGGAATCTGTCGTGGTCAGCAAGTTCAAATATTCAAGATTATGTTGTCAAGAAGGTAGAACTCTCTTCAGTTTGCATTGACTTTTTAGAGGTTCTCCAACCCCCCCTCTCTCCCAAAGGAATGAAACTACTTACAACATTTAATTCTTTTCATCATATGAAAGAATTGATATAAGATTATTTGTCTCATAAAATTACCTGGTCTGCAAGAAGTCAAACTTAACAAAAATTGTTGTGGCAAATATTATGTACATATATTGCTGTGTAACTTCATTAGTGGCCATTTTTGAATCACAGTGGTGATCATGTGAATATATTTAACACTGTTAAATTAATTTACATTGCTATTTTATTTTAATCATGAACAACTACCATGTTTCATAATGTTTTGTGTAAATTTAAGGTAATTACACTATCCTTTTAAAGTGTAAGAGAACAAAGTTGTAGCATATTTACATGAAAGTATTATATTAGTGTTTTGGTTTTACATTAAACTGAACTTTCCTTTTACTGATTGTGAATTAAACATATGTACATTATGTCTTTCTGTAGCCTCTGCATACTACTAGCTGTCATCACACCAGCATACAGTAGCTAAATTTTTGGTGCAGTTATAACAAATAATGTTCCCTTTGAAACTTTTACATTTTGGCATGATATTTCAGAATATTGTGGGACCATGACACAAAATTAAGTTAGGATCATGTTCTTTATATCTTATTTTTAAAGAAATAATGCTGATTTACTTTTTCCTAGTTGAAGATAGTAATTAGGTTTATAAACTGTATACTGTGTTTATTGGTGGCAGTGACACCAAAGATAGAGGCAGTGGATAGAAATTTGTAAACTGGAAAGAAACCATAAATAACACTACATTCTCAAAGTCTCTTGTAATTATTTAGGATATTAAAAAATTGATTCATTTGCCTTATCTCACTACTAGTCTTTTAAATATGTCTTTAACGCATTGTATTTTTTAATTCTTCATTAAAATGGATATTAGCAGATGTTTCAAAGTAATCAATATTCCTGACTTTGCTTAACAGTTTGCATGTTTATTCTTATCTTTCAAACTGGGTTATGGGTTTGTTCTCTCTTTATGAAGTTCTAATAGAATTATATTGGCTTCCTATTCAGGAATTTTTCAATGAACACTTTTTTTTTAATCTACATGAAATATGTTTTCAACTGACATTTAAATCTTCTTAAATAGTTACAATTTTCTTGGTTGTGCTATACCATTATTTAACACTATTATTTAAACAACTGAAAAATTGAGCTCAGCATCATATTAAATGAGTTGATTTAACAAATTTCATACCATAAATGAAAATTTAATTTGTATTTTCTAAGACTATTATAATCAGATAACTTGTTTCTTTCCCTTTGGACAAATGATTCCATCTTTGGCAAGAAAACCTAATGGTGATCTAATTATAGTTTCAAATTTAAAGCACTGTCTTCAACGTAAGTGTTTTACCTGGTGTTGGTGTTTTCTTGACTTTAGAATATGTCGCCCTCAAATAGAAATTTTAAAATTTGAATTCAACCTTTAGATTAAAAAATTTATTATATTGTTTTTTGATCGGCATTGTCAAATCATAATCTTTATTTCATTTTGAATATTCTAGTTTAACTGATATACTTTCCCCTATCATACTATATTTTTCTCTTTGTCTTTTGATAAATTTCTGTTTACCAATGGCAAATGTATCATTTCCCCATTTTATTTTGATATTCTTCACGGTGTAAGATCAATTACATATTCTCTTATTTGCTTTTTGCCCTGTAAAAGTCAAAAGAATGGTAAAATGAAAAAAAAGACCCTTATTACAATGCATACCTATTATATTAGTGTGTTTATAAAGGTTTTAATGATGAATACTTAAAACTGACACATCAGTTTGTGCTTTTAATACCAGATGGAAAAATTCCAATGACAAGGAACCACTGGGTTTTCTTCTTTTTGATGACATGGCAAGGGCAGAAATAGGAAAGGACCAGTTAGCACAGTGATTTGTTCTGAAACTAGTGTACGAGCTGTACTTAAAAATATATTTCTTTAAAATATGACAGTCTTTTTTTTTAAGGAATGCAATTATTTATAAAATGAACTAATTAAAATGTGAATTTCTGTGAAGCAAGTTTGACGTCTTAGTTTATTTTCTTTATAAAGTTTGAGTGTGTATCTTCTATAAACCAGTGTCATCTAGTTGGAAATATTCAAGTTCATTTACTATCTAGCATAAATAGCCAACAAACCCCATGGCCAATAGGATGTCATAACAGAGCAATGCCCTTAGCCTAGGAACAATGCTGTGATTTGACAGTCGTTTCTAATTCTGTGGTCCTCTTCCACTTACCTGTCTCTCCTCAGTGAGGGATCTTTTTATGTGCCTAGACCAGGGGTGGGCAAACTTTTTGACTCGAGGGCCATTTTTTTTTTTTAGTTTTATTCGTTTCAAACGGGCCGGATCCGGCCCGAGGGCCGTAGTTTGCCCACAGCTGGCCTAGACATTTCCTTCTTTTTATTAAAAACTTCTGGAGCTTTGTTTCTATACCTCTTAATTTTTGTATTTAAAATACTTACTTGACAACTAATATTATTTTTGATATAGCTTTCATATATGACATATATAATTCAGCTTGAGAATATCTTTAGTCCAAAGCTTCAAGTTTATGTAAGACACATTATTGCCCTGTTCATGATAAACTATGAACTATAGTTTAAAATTTTCACTCTTGTATCATTTTCGTGTTGATTTTTTTTAATTCTTTGGGTGATTAACTGCTTATACCCCTTTGAATAAAATATATAGGAGAAACTTACCTAAATCTTAAAGGCCTATGACATACTCCTGTAAGTATCTACACTTGATCTTAGCCAAAAGGCCGAGAAGCGATACTTACCTAAATCTTAAAGGCCTATGACATACTCCTATAAGTATGTCATCTTTTATTTTAGAATCATGACTTGATTAAATGTTCTTGTCAAGTATCTAGATTATTTTCTATCCTATATGTAATGACATATGCCTCCTGGTTTTTAAGCAAAGCTATCTGAGTTTTATATATATTTTCTTAGTATGATCTTTCTTTAAAATTACAAAACTTAGTAAATTTGTCCTGAAGCTTTCCTAGCTTCCACAGTATATTTTTTTCTTACGATGTTCTAGAGCATTTTAAATCTCAATATTTAAAATCTTGAGGCACATGCAAGATTTAAAATCTATTTAAATATTTAAAATCTATCTCCTTGCTTAACAAAATACAAAATTTTATTGGCAACAACTTGTGGTCATACTGAATTTAGATGATTTTCAGGTTCTAGCTTATGCTTATACTTCCCACTACCATTATTGTCTGTTTGCTGCTTCTTATAGATGCAGAGAATTTCTGATAAGGATTATATATTAAATTAATAAGAATCAACAAACTCCTGAACAAAAGCAAAAAGTACTGGTTTTAATGATCTTTTGGTGATCAGAGACTCTTAAAAAATCATGTTAATTTTTTTTAAACAAGTTTATTTAAACAACATGACACTTGACTTGAAGGGAAAACTAGGATTAATTTTTTAGAGTAATTTATCTCTACTTAAAGACAGATTGCTCTACATTTAACAGCTACATACAAAAAAGTTATAAAATTGTTCGTGGTTTTAACAATGATAAATGAAAAGCATTAAAATTCTCCAATCAAACCAGGTATGCAAGAATTTTTATGATGTTCTTTTTTTTATTAAACTGAGAGCAAAATAACTTACTGTAATATAAAGATAAGAGCTGAATGATCATGCCACTAATGGAGAAAGGGGGTGTTTCACAGAACCAGTATTTTTCCCATCCCATCTCCATTTGATGTCAATCAAAACATACCATTGCCCATCTAGTTAAAAAAAATGCAAATGCTTGTGCATGTACATCAGTTACTTTATGTACGATAAAGGAATGGGAAAGGGGAAAATGAAAGAATAGAGAAAACTATACTCTAGCAGTCAGAAGTGTTGAAACCAAATTGCAATTTTCTACGGCTTTCCTTAGTTTCCTAAGTGTTGTATGCCTCTTAATTTAAACTGCACCACAGAACGAACCACCCTGAGGATAAATTTTCATTGATTTCCAGAGAAGAGAGTAAGGGACAAGGAGAAAGAAACATTGACCGGTTGCCTCTTGCATGTGCCTCAACTGGGGATTGAACCCACAACCTTCTGATGCATGGGATGATGCTGCAACCACCTGAGACACCTGGTCAAGGCAGAGAACTGGGTTTTAACCCAGACCCATCAAATGGGAATCTGACCTGCCTCATGACAAACCCTGTCGTTCTCAATAGGCTTTCCTTAGTTTCCTAAGTGTTGTATGCCTCTTAATTTAAACTGCACCACAGAACGAACCACCCTGAGGATAAATTTTCATTGATTTCCAGAGAAGCGAGTAAGGGACAAGGAGAAAGAGAAACGTTGACTGGTTGCCTCTTGCATGTGCCTCAACTGGGGATTGTACCCACAACCTTTTGATGCACGGGATGATGCTGCAACCACCTGAGACACCTGGTCAAGGCAGAGAACTGGGTTTTAGCCCAGATATATGTTTTGTCAAAAAAATATCTTGCTAATGTATGATCTTGGGCAGGTCCATCAATTTCACTGGGCCTTCTACTTATTTATAAACTGATGTCGTCAGTGTAACTACATGATCTTTCGTAGCTTGCAGAAATTCTGTGCTTCAGATCCTCTGCCTCTGTGTACCATGAATATCTGTGCCGTTCAGCCTGAATAGCTGACTGATGCCACTGAACTTACTCTCGTAGCTTAGAGGAGGAAAAGGCATGGGAATGGGGTTGAGGACTCTGGTACTGAAACTTGTGATTTCTAGCCAACCTCCTACAAGTAATCCAAAGGTAGTTTATTTTCAATAGTAAACTCTCAAGCCTTTCGTTTAGGTTTGATCCTACCAGGAACATCTGTATTTAAGGTACAAATACAAATTTGATAATGCTTTCACTTTCTTGGTGCTGATTTGGGAGAAACAAATAATTACAGCTCTGAAGCTGTTATGTTTTTGTATATTGCTTCAAGCTAAAGGAAGTAGGTAGCATCAGACTATGTGAAATTTTATTGTTCTTGATTTCTTGCAGGCAAAGAAGTACTCTTGGTCTTATTGACCTGATAATGGTGATAGAGGCACCATACTACAGCCATCCACAGTTTTCTAACACCTCAGGCAATCTGCTTAAGTGCAGACTGCCTGAGGTGTTAGAAAACCGTGGGAACCAGCAGTTTCCATCTTTGGTACTGGCTATGAGAGTCTTTCTGTAATATTCCAAAGAAGGTGCAAAGTCAGCATTGGCATTTTTTTCATCACAAATATTTGGCTTAGAAAAAATGCCATTAAATGTTGGCTAGTTAAAAGTTACTAATATAAGTAAACATTAACTAGCTAAAGAAAGGTTAGTTTTTTCCTAACCAACAACTTTTTTTTCTTACATGTTAGTTACATGTATTTATTATTTTACATCTATAATAATAAAAGCGTAATATGCTAATTAGATCGGACATCCTTCTGGACATCCTTCTGGATGGAGCTACGGCGGGCGGGGGCTGAGGCTGAGGCAGCTGCCTCGGTGGCAGGGGCCAAGCCCCTTGCACGAATTTCGTGCATTGGACCTCTGGTTTTTATATAATATAATTACCAGAATAAAATGTTTTTAATTTTCTTGTTTTACTTTAGAAAATTAGATACCGTGCTTGCAGTAAAAAAAATAAAAATAAAAATAGTTTCCTAAATTACTTTGTTATGTAATGGAATCTTATAAAGAAGGCTTTATCAGGTATTGACTAAAGTAAGCTTTTTTAGTAGAGGGGGAAAGACAAATTGCTTTCTAATTATCACTGGTTGTGTTATGTTCTCCCTGTGTAAGCGGGATAGTCACTTCCTTAGAATCTTTTTTGCTATCTCATAATAAATTTTTAAAGAATAATTCTAGGAATGAATCCTGGTTGGGTTTT